GGTGAAATGCAGCAGCAATGTCCCACAAACAGCCAGGGAGTGAGTGACCAATTGTATTTGGGGACTTGTTGGCCAGGACACCGGGAGAAACTCCCTTCTATTTTCAAATAATGCCGTGGGGTCTTTAACATCCACCAGATCCGGCAGACAGGACCTCGGTTTAACATCTTATCCGAAGCATGGCGTCTTCGAAAATGCAACAGCCCCCCCAGCACTGCACTGGAGTGTCATCTTAAACTATGTGATTCCAAGTCCCAACGTGGGGCTTGAACCCACAACCCTTTGACTCAGAGGCAGGGTTGCTACCACTGAGCCAGGCTGACACAATAAAAAATCTATGTATTGAACATGAGTACAACTGAGAAGTTATTTCCCATGAAAGTCTTTCCCCGCCCCTTCATTGAGCAAGGGTAATTACAAAGTTGTGAGTGTCAATATGATCTACAGTTTCCATTCAATTCTATGAATTGTTCCTCACTTACATTCTATACATATTTTCCATTTGATCCACTAACCTACAGCAAAGTAAAACTAATAATCAAAATATTGTAATCTGATTACTAAAATCCTCCAACAAAAGCAAACATCTGCTTTTTCCATTCACTTTATCAACAGCATAAAAGTCCTAAGTTAGCAACGTTTTCTGTGACCTTGGACCACTATCATCACTGAAGTGCTTCACAGAATACACTATAAAATGAATTGACCGTATATTTTATGGACGAAACGCGGCAGCCAATTGCGCACAGCAGTGTCCCACAAACAGTAGCGCTTAGAGTCACCAAATTATTATTATTATATTTATTTATTTAATTTGGATTTTATATTACCTCGGACGTGTGATCTACCAATTGACTAACAACCAGGTTCATACTTAATGCTAGGTAAACAGAGGTGTTTTGAGTAAGAAAATTTGCTTACGTTTCGCCCTACCTGGGAATCGAACCCAGGTCGTCTCACTTGCGAGGTGAGTGCTTTAGCCACTAAGCTACAGACTCCCAAAAAAGAACAAAAATAAGCACAGACATTCACTGAAAATACAAATAAAATAAATAAATAAAATACAAATTGTGCGTTTCGCTCACATACAGCCACTAGACTTCACAGTATATCCTGTGAAGCGCTTTGAGATGTCTTAAAGACGTGACATGGCACGATATCAAATGCAAGGATTATAATAATAATAAAACTTATTTCCTGTTCAATGTTGGATCAGGTGGTATATTTGTTACATGTAGGATAAGAGAACATTGCACTTGAATATTTAAGATACATTTCTGATGCATTTTGCCACTTAGCTATGTGACCAACAATGATTATTTTTCATTAAAAAAGCATCCTGTTGAAATCTATTAAAAGAGTTACTGAAATTGTAACACTAAATGAATTGTCTTAAAAGAACAAATCAAGTATAAATGGTTTGCATTTGTGGAGTCCTGTAGCTCAGTGGTTAGAGCACTCGCTTTGGAAGTGAGAGACCTGAGTTCAATTCCAGGCAGAGGGCCAAACCTTGGGCAAGTTTCCTTACTCCACACAGAGCCTAATAATAATCCCTCCAAAACCAAAAACAATAATAAATTGGTCATTTTCAATCTACGACTGTTTGTGGGACATTGCTGTGCGCAATTGGCTGCCGCGTTCGCCCACAAATATACAGTCAATTCACTTGACAGTGTGTTCTGTGAAGCACTTTGGGACGTCCTCCTGACGTGAAAAGCGCTATATCAAATGCAAGGATTATTATTATTATTATTTATATGAATGGTTCACGGTTCTTTCAAACACAAAATAGGAATGAACCGCTTGCATTTATATAGCTCTCCTCACGCAGGGTAGTGACCCAGAGCAAATCATTTGAATTCCTTGTTTATTTTTAATGGTATTGCTGTTAATAAAGGTCCATAACGAGCCTTCATTTTACAAGCCCCTCGCACCTTCTGTGTTTTATTATATGTAATAATCCTTGCATTTGACATAGCGCCTTATCACGTCGTTGAGACGTCTCAAAGTGCTTCACAGAATATACCGTAAAGTGGAGTGACTGCACTTTGCGGGCAAAACATTCGTATTATTTTCCCCTCCCACTATCATGAAAGTGTTAACTGGGACGCGTGCTTAACATGCAAAAATGAGTGAAGCAGCGATACCGAGAGTGACACGCGTAAATCACGCAGCTTTGCGTTGAGGGGGACCTTCCTAATGGGCGCGAGAGAGAGAGAGGTTCATTTGTGATTAAGTGCTCAGTGGTCAGAGCGCTCGCCTCGCAAGCGAGAGCCGCGGGTTCGATGCCCGGCGGGGCGAAACCTTGCGCGAGCTTCACTTACCCCACGCGCCTGATAGTAATCCCTCAAGAAAACAAAAAGCAACGTTTTTTTTTAAAAAAAAGCCCGAACGGTCACTCCAATCCACGGCTGCTCGCGGGTGAGGCCGCCGGGGGCGCAGTTGGCCGCCGCGTTCCGCCCCACATTAAAACGCGCGGCCGCTGCGCTCTACAGTGCATTATAATAATAATAATAATAATCCTTGCATTTGATATAGCGCTTTTCACGTCGGGAGGACGTCCCAAAGCGCTTCACAGAACACACTGTCAAGTGAGTTGACTGTATATTTGTGGGCGAACGCGGCAGCCAATTGCGCACAGCAATGTCCCACAAACAGTCGTAGATTGAAACTGACCAATTTATTATTGTTTTTGGTTTTGGAGGGATTATTATTAGGCTCTGTGTGGAGTAAGGAAACTTGCCCGAGGTTTCGCCCTCTGCCTGGAATTGAACTCGGGTCTCTCGCTTGCAAAGCGAGTGCTCTAACCACTGAGCCACAGGACTCCATTCCGTGAAGCGCTTCGAGGCGTCTCGGAGGACGCGATAAGGCGCTGTACCGGATGTGCAAAATTATTATTATTTTTATTATTATTATTATTGTTACTCCCAGAGTCAGGGAACACATTGCACCTGATCAGGTTAATGGGAGACCACCCTGTGCTTTCGGGGCTGGAGGAGGGGGGGGGTGGTCACTAATTGCACCAGAGCAGCATCTTGCACAAGAGCCCCCACACTCAGCCCCGTTAGCAAAGCACAAGCCCCCGGGAACGAGTAGGGGGAGAGAGAGGGGGGAGAGAGGGGAGTGAGAGCAGCACGTGGGCGCGGGAGCCGCCTCTACGTCATGGAAACAGTGACGTCAGGCGGGGGGGCGGGGGGGCGCGGGGCCCGGGCGGGACCGCGCGCGCACTCGCCCGCTCCCATTGGCTCCGCCCGCCGGCTGTCATTCCCGCGTCGTCCTATGGGCATGGCGGCGGGGCGGGTCACGTGAGGCGGCGTGTGGAGGAAAGGGGGTGTGCGTGTGTGTGTGTGTGTGTGCGGGGGAGGGGGGGGCGGGAGGAGGAGGAGGAGGGCGGTGACGGGCTGAGTGGGGGGCGGGGCTGAGAGGGGATAAGCAGTCCCCCCCCCCCACCCACCCTTCGGGCTCGCTCTGATATTCGTTGCCGCTGTCATCAGTTGCGCGCCCCCTGACACTGACACACACACACACACACCGCCGCCTCCTCCTCCTCCAGTCAGTCAGTCCAGCCTTACCCGCACCTCATGTCTGCCTCTCGCCGTTAGGCGGGGCCGCGCCGCGGGGGCGATCAGCCTGTGACTGAGCCCGGGAGCCGCTCTGGCTTCTTCCTCCCGAGCGTCGGTCGCCAGGGCAGCCCTCCCTCCCTCCCAGCGCGGCGCGGTGCGCGGTGCGTCTGCCGCCTCGGGGGGAGTGTGGGTGGGAGTGTGGGGTGGTTGGTGGTGAGCTGCGCCGCTCTTGCCCCCCCCCCCCCTTTTACGCCGCACACCCTCTTTCCCTCTCTCCCTTCTCTTCCCTCCTCGGTCGCTCTGTGAGAGTGTCTTTGGCGGCGGCTCGAGCTCGCGTGGAATGTGGCGCTAAACGGCCACAGACACACACACACACACCCACACACACACACAGAGAGAGAGAGAGAGCCCCGACCCTGGGCTCCCACCCACACATCTACACCCCCCCCCCCCACCCCCGGCCTGTCACCGGGAGACCTTGTCGCTCGCTCCCTCGCTCTCTGGCCTTTTACTGCTCGGAGGACCCCCGGCACAGCTCTCAGGTAAACCCCTCACCACTTACTGCCAGTCAGCGCGGTCTTATTGTGCTGAAGTGTATGTAGTTCTTGTTGTTGTTGGCTTTATTTGAGAGACGGTCGTTCCCCCCTTTCCTCTTCCTCTCTCCCCCCTTCCCCCTCTCCCTCTCTCTTTCCCCCCTTTCCTCTCTCGCTCTTCCCCCCTTCCCTCTCTATTCCTCTCCCCCCCTTCCTCCTCTTTCCCCCTTCCCTCTCACTTCCCTTCTCTCTTCCCCCCTTTCCCTCTCTTCCCCCCCTTCCCCCTCTCTCCTCCCCTTCTCTTTCCCCCTTCTCTCTCACTTTCCCTCTCTCTTCCCCTCTCACTTTCCCTCTCTTCCCCCTCTCTCCCCCCCTTCTCTTCCCCCCTTCCCTCTCACTTTCCCTCTCTCTTCCCCTCTCACTTTCCCTCTCTCCCCCCCTTCCCCCTCTCTCCCCCCCTTCTCTTTCCCCCTTCCCTCTCACTTTCCCTCTCTCTTTCCCTCTCTCCCCCCCTTCCCCCTCTCTCCCCCCCCTTCCCCCTCTCTCCCCCCCTTCTCTTTCCCCCTTCCCTCTCACTTTCCCTCTCTCTTCCCCTCTCACTTTCCCTGTCTCCCCCCCCCCTTTCCCTGTCTCCCCCTCTCTCTCTCTCTCTCTCTCTCCTCCTCCCTCCCCTCCTTCTCCCTTCCCCTTCCCTCTCTCGGGCTGCAATTCCAGCGTGAGTTTTATTTTTTTTCTTATTTCAACGAAGATGTTATTAAGTTACTGTTTGACCTTGAGCGGTCCTGTTACCCTCTGAAAGCTCGTCGGTGGGTCTGTGTCTCTCCCTCTCCCTCTTTCCCTCTCGTTTGTGTATCTATTTGTGTTGGGCGCCCGTCTTCCCTGTCCTCTCTTCCTCTTCTTCCTTCCCCCCTTCCTTCCTTCCTTCCTTCCCTCCCGGTGTCGAGAGCTGAGAGGAAGTGGAGAGGCGAGCACTGTGGTGGCGGTTTAGGTGCGTCGCCTTTCTCTCCCTTTTCCCCCCCCCTCCAAATGCTTTCTTTTTCAACCTGTGGCTGAGCAGTTCGCGAGATGAACTTTTTTTATATATATATGTAATATAATACAATATAATATATATAAAAAAGAAAAATCCAACGCTGCTTCTCCGGTTTGCAATGGTCCTGACCCTGTCCAGCTTGTGAGGCTCGGCAGAGGCGGCCACGAATGGTGTTGGGTGGGTGGGTGGGTGGGTGGGTGTGGAGTTGGAGTGGGTCGGTGGGCGAGGCTGCGGTTGAGGAAGCGCATGGCTTGTGCAAAACCGCTGTGAGACCTGTTGCAGTCGCTGCGAACCGTCAGGGGCGTCGCGCTCGGCAGGTCCCGTCTCCCGTCTCGGACTTGCCCGGTGGTTTTTTTTAAACCGTGTTCACCCATCCTTTCTCATCATCCATCTTGTGTCAGCCTCTTGTCATTAGAGCGCGGGCTCACGGGGCACGCACGGCGCTTTACCGGTCTCTCTGGCCGGGCAGAGAGGGGCCGCTGTCAGAGCCCTGTGCACACACACTCACTCACTCACTCACTCACACACACACTCACTCACACACACACACACACACAACTGTTGCGCCCGTTCGTTGTGCAGCAGCGAACGCCGACTTCTTCGGCTCTCACGTGCTCGGCGGTGAGTGACTGTAACGCTCTTGGTGCCGGTCCACCATTTGCCCACCACCGGCGGCTCTGTCCAGCGGCCGGAGGCCACCGTGTCCGCAGAGTATCCTCCGGGAGGACGAGCCGGTTTTGAGTGTTAATCGCTGCCGCTCGAGTCGGATGCAGCCACGAACTCTCTCTCTCTCTCTCTCTCTCTCCCCCCTTCCTCCCCACACACCATCACCATCACCGACCGTGAGTGGGTCTCACGCTGCACGTCGCTGGGGAGTCGAGGAGTGTGGGGGTTTGTTTTTTTTTTTTTGCGCGTTATAGCCTCGGGAGCGAACGACAAGTGAAGGAAGGGGTCAGTCAGCAAACGTTACCACCCGTACGTCTGTGTGTGAAGTGCCCGTCGTTTGTAATTCCGTGACCGGTGCGCGGGTGGGATTCCTGTCGGCAAATCGGGAAGAGGTGAAGTCCAGTTTCCAATTGAAAAAGGGAGTCGTCGATGTGGTGGTGGGGACGAGGGTGGGGGGTGGGGGGGGACGAGGGGTGGGGGTGTGGGGGGGACGTCTCAGGCGAATGCGTTCCGCCAACCGGCCATTAAGTGTCCGTCGGAGCAGCAGAAATGTATCGAAAAGTTACGCGTTTTAAAATCCGGTGTTTTTGAACCAGAAACCGAGCGTTCGCTGAAGCGCTGCGCCGCGGTGGTCCGCAACACCGGGAGTGATTTCGGAGTGGGGGCCCCCACACAGCAAAACACACGGCACGGACACGGCACAGCCGCCGAGCGTTGCGCCGGTGCCGTGAAAACCGGGTCTCGGTCGACTTGGATTTTTTTTTTAAATTTTTTTAAAAAAAATTCATTATCGAAACGCGTGTGTGTGTGTAAAAAAAACACAGATACACACACACACACAGACACACACACACACACCAGCCGAGCAACCGGACCCCCGCGGCGTTTTGCCTCGAAAGTTGATTGTAATTTTTCTTTTTGACATCCACGATACGGCGCTCTCTCTCGCACCACTACCACTACCACCACCACTACCACCACGACAACCGACGCCGCCGCCGTTGCCGGTACGGTCGGGGCTTCAGTGCATTGCGCCATCAATCATTAACCGTACGTCTGAGCCCCTCTCTGGGTTTGCAAATGAAAATGGGATGAGCGAAGTTGTTGATTGGCACTGGGGATGCGGCGGCGGCACTGCTCTCGCCTCGTGAGTGCAGAGACAGACGCCTCTGCGTCAATAGATTAGTGACGGTGGGGTTTCTATTCGGAGTTGGGTGTCAGGTATCCAGAATCGTGGCTTGTTGCATATATATATGTGTGTGTGTGTATGACGGCATCTGTTTAGTTTTCGTGTTCACGTCGGTCCCTGACTGAATTGCAGCTGCGATCAATAACTTTTGAAGTCTGCGAAGCAGCTCGAACTGGTCCTTCACACGGCGGGGAAACTTATCAAAGCTCTTTGCAAAGGAAGAGCCTGAGCCCCGGGAGGGAGAGGGGCTGAAGGCTGAGGTAGTCTGAAAGGTTTCAAAAGGCGAGTTGAGGATCGAGTGAAACTCAGTGCTCAGGAGTTGGGAGTGAACATCTGGGAATGTTGTGGTTGGTGCCTGAGACGAGGAGGGTTGGCCTCTCACTGGTGGGAACTGGCCTCTGTTTTAGCCTTTTGGTTCAAAACATCCGTTTGTCAAAATTGTTTTGATGTGACATTTTCCTTATTCAATGTTCCTGCTGTCTACAGGTATGAAAATGAGTAATATCTGGGCTGGGACTGCAGTGCTGGGATGCACTGCATTGTTAGAGGTGCCATCCTTTGGTTGAGATGTTAAACCAAAATGCTCTCTGTTCAGGTTGATGTTGAATGTACCAATGCTTTATTTGAAAAGAGAAGGGTATTTCTCCTAGTATCCTGGCCTTTAATCCCCCAAATAAGATTAGTCATTCACTTACTTCATAGCTGTTTCTGGGATATCCCTTTGTGCAAATTAGTTGCTGCATTCACCTAAAGTAGTCTCTGTACTTTACAGTATATCCTGTATCGTGCTTTAAAACATACTCAAAAGATGCCCGTTCAAATATAAGGATTATTCTGTCAACAAAAAATGAATATTTCATATTCACATATATTCCAAATTTAATAAGTGATGTAAATGATGGGGATACATGTTCCTTGAATGTTTAGTACAGCTGGCACATTTGTAATCAACTCATAATGTACTTGCTGTTAATTTCACTTCCAGTTGTATGTTTAATGCTTCAGAACGTATTCTTTATTCTGTTAATATTTTGATATAAGTGGAAAGTTAAATTGCTTTGTATTCACATTTGATTGGTAGTAAGATTTCTGGTGTGGAATTGTTATACAGGCCCAAGTACTTCACTGATGGTTTTAATTATGTATCTTATGTATCTTACACTGGTATGTATCTACCAGTGAAACATACATAATTTTGTGCTAGATAATGTATTATAAATTAAAACAATTCGGTTTTTGGTCAGCTGTGGGTCTGACAAATGTGGAAACCCATCACCCAACAATTTGCATGTGGAAAGGAATGCACACTCTGGAGGGATGTACCCTGCTTCCTTGATTCTGGAGTGTAGTAGCTGGATATTAGTGTGAACCAAGAATTGGTCCCTGAAGTATGTGTTCAGCGTTTCAATTTGTCCTCACTGAGGTTTAGAAATGTGCTTTGTGCTGCATTTTAATAACTAAAGTTAAAATAACTTAAACTTAAAGTCTAAGTTTAATCAGCAATTAAATACGTGCTCGTGCTTATGGACTGAGGTGAAGTTTGATCGCATACTAATTTGGGTGCTGAAATTTTAAGTAGTTGACACCTTTGGATGGTTCTTGGTTTTATATTTGCAGTAAATGGTATGCCCAAATAAAATTGTATTGAATATATCCAAACCGTTAATGTCCTTCTGACATGAAAGGCACAAGACAAATGTAATTTGCTGTTGAATAAGCAGCATGATATAGAAGTTAAGCTTGTATCATTTTGTTTATTGGCAAAACCAGTAGCAAAGGTGGAAAGTTACAAGACTACTTTTCATGCAGAAAAGAGTAAATTAATTTGACTCCATATCTTGTAAATATTTGGGTAATACTGTAAATGTCTTTGAAAACCTTTTAAGGCTTGGAAAGCTGGCTCTTAGGAAAGATTGTGGTTTGATCCTTCATTTATTTTCTACGACAGTGGTATACTTCTGTGGTCACTTTTAGCAAGTCGAATCTTTTTGGTTAATTTTGGGACATCCACCCAATGTAAAGGCGCTATATAATTGCAATTTGTTGTTGTAAATCATTTGAGGTACAGTAATTGCCAGTCAGCTTTGTAAAGAGTAGTTAAATTACAAGCTTGTAACTAAAGTGGTACTTAGAGGGAAGAAATCAACTACTACTAGCTTGGTAATTTTATACAATTGAACATCAGATTGCAGAAACTGAGTACCGTTGTGTATTTGGGAAGAATTCTTTGGCGAGCCAATGGTCCAATCACTTGATGACCAGGAGCAGCTGTCTGCAAGACTGGAGTAGCTTTTAGCATGTGCTGAAAATAGAGGGAAAACTGTCATTGTATAAACCCGCATTGCAACTGATGTGCTCTGTCATAATTGGTCCCAGTTAAAGATCTCAACTGCAATGTTCATAGAAGTGGAATTTTGTGTGTGCTGTGGTACTGCCTGTTGGCTCCAGTAGTTCATGTTTCTTGGCAGAAACTCCCAAGTGAAGAATTCAGCTCAGTTTAAATGATTCATTGAGCACATGTAGGTCGTATAATGTATCCTGTCGGGTGGGTCAGTTGCCCATCAGTGTGCCTTACAACTGCTATAAAGATGCACTCCATTTTGTGCACTATTAATGCATTTGGATTCTGAGATCGCAAACAACTGTACCATTCAAAGTTTGTATGTAGCAGCAGTCCATTTGGCGTGACATAGATTTCTTCACTTGCTGTTTTCAGGTGATTTTTATACTGTGTGGTGTTTTGCTCACCTTTTGCATTTTATGGAGTAATATTTCTGTTACTACTTGTCCTAAAATCTGAGCCCTATACTGTTTCCAGTTAAGATAATAAATGGCAGTAACCTACATTTAAGTGATAAAATGCTTCTGAGCATTTTGAAGTGCACATTTGCCAAGGGTTGTATTTGACAATTTTCTTTAATATACAGTACAAATGTACTTTAAATGTTAAAATTTGCAATTTGGAAATAGCTGCTCGAATCCAAGTCCTCTCTGCTTCAGTTTTCTCTCCCATCTGGTTCAATTGTGGTTGCAGTTGTGTGTTCTATTAGAAATGTGTTCTGACAACACTGTACCATCAATGGGCAGCTGTTCTTCAGCA